TTTAGTCTTGCTGCTAAATTTACTGTACCTCACCTGTTTCCGTATCTCCTTATGCAAGGACATTCTTGTTCCCCTGAGTTGCTTGGATTTCTAGAGTTTGAGAAGCAACAAATGCTTAAAGTTTCTCATCTTTATCTAGTAAAGAGTCATTTGTTATTTTGTGACCTAGTAAGTTTTCTTACCAGCTCTGTGCTTTGTACAAATTCTGTGGGTTGGCCCCAGTAGATGGTTATCAAACATGCTTCTCAACACTTGTAAACTTCCCCATTACTTTTTAGCTTAGAGTAAGGCATATTCTTTGTCTTCTGTATTAAAACACCAATCCCAAGCTGTGTACCAGCCTGTTTCAAAAACCTGCTGTAGGTAGTGCTCAGTGTAGTGGCCAGCACTGTCCAGACCGTTTGTGCTTTACAAGCTGTGCATGTGTCCTACTGTTGCTCTGCAGTGGCTGGAGGTGAGTCAGCAAGATTTGCAATGAGGAGCCAAGCATCTTCATCGTAGTAGTAGAATGGAGTGACTTAAAAATGGCATGGGCATTAGTACAGTTTTGTGGGGTCTTAGGCAGTTGTTTTGAGTCTCGGCTCAATGACTTTTTTTCTATGAGAACACACAAACCTGATCAGACCAAATGTCTGCTTATTGTGATATTTCTTATAACAACCAACAGCAAAGGCCTGGGGAAGGATATAAATCTAGGGCAAGCATGTCATTCTCCAGAATATTCCCCTATCCCTCCACATTTTACACTTTTGGGATTTCCTGCTCTGGTGGTGGCATGATCTGACAGTGGCATAATAAGGTGACAACCACCATGAACTGAAAGGCTGGAACTTAACCACTTAAGCTACAATATCTGTCTCTTTGAATCTGCATAACAGTACTTTTTGCATAATACAGCGTAAGCATCTGTGGATTGTGTATGCAATGAGTTGTCATTACTGCAGTAATCCTTCTTTCTGAAGTGAAATTTCAGACTTGTATTTTGTCTTGAATGGTCTCTGAGCTTTTCACCTCCTCGTAATCTTCCAGATAGGTAAAGCTGTGCTTAGAATATAAAACATTTGTTCTGTTGGCAGGCATAGATGGCTTTATTTTTGTATAGAATTAGTTCTCTATTGTAGAAGATACAGATATGATGTCCTCTTGGTTTTGTGTTGCCTGAATTCTTAGATTATTCATCAGGTTTAAACTTTCAGGGCTGGATTATGGCTTTACTGTGGAAGACCAAGGTATATGCATAATATCATTTTGTCTTGTTGAAGTACTAGCCCAGATTTTTGTATTGTAAGTGAAATTGGGCTCTTTACTAAACTAGAAATGTTTTCTTCCAACAGCTTTGTAGGTAGGCTGATAAATCTTTTTGGGTAAAATGCTTGTTTATGGGTGGGATTCTAATCTGTGGTTGTGTATTTAACTAGTAACAGGATTAAGATTTTGAAGAGGAGGCCTTTCAGTTCCTTTCATCAGTGTATTAAGAGAGGCTGTCTATCTAGTATGAAGAACTAGTGAAGCTTGAGAGTTTGTGCTTCAGCACAAATGAAGAAAACCTGAGGTGCTCCCCCCTAACCCAAACATCTTGTTTTTGATGGCCACCACTTGGCAAAAAGTCTCTTTGGCTTATTAAGTCATGGTCCTAAAAATCTTGGGGTGACCAAGGCCCGTTTTCTTGTAGTGACACTGAGCAGCTGACTGTTTTCTTCTAGCACCGTTGTTTCCATCGTTATGGTGGTTCTACGAGGTGATAGTTAATGACCTTATTTGCAGAAGACTGAAGAGATGCAACAGGGATAATATGTTCTGACAGGCTGTGTTTCTTGTAGGACTGGGTCTTAGGTATGCCTCTTTACTGACAGGTAATGCTGTTGCTCAGTTTAAAATTGATTTGTCCTCCAGTGCACAGTGATGCTGGACTTCTGTTTCAAGGGCTTGTAGATGTTTAGGCTAGCAATGGATAAAATCCTGCAGAAGCGAAGCAGTTGATTAAATTTGTAATGATGTGTTGGAGTGTGTTCTGAGAATTGGATACTCATTTAAAGGGAACAGCAAGTCTTGTGTATAGGTTTTTTTCTTTTAAATTTCCACGGTAGACAAATTTACTTCTAGGGAAGAGATTGTGAAGGAAACCTGTAGTACAGTTGATAAAGCTTTCCCATTTTTTTCCCCAGTTGTTGCAATTTCCGGATACAGGCCAGAAGATCTTGGAAACTGTTACTGTACGTGTTTCTCAACCTCCACACTTTTGGAGTAATTACATGTGTATCATTGTTTCTTGCATAAGAGATAGGTGTGAATAGTTTGTTGTACTTATTCAAGAAGCAGGTTTTCTATAGAAGTGTTGTAGTCTATCCCACAATATGACTGAAGTGCCCTGTAGTTAATCCCAATGGATAAAGCATAGAAGAATATAAACTCTGTTTTAAAGAAAGGCTAGATCTTCTGTAATCTGTGTTGCTGTATGACAGTTAGAGACTACCAGTAGGGTGCACAAAGTTGCAAGTGTAACTGAAAAAGACACGTGTGCTTGAGAAACCTGTCAGATCCGGAGAAGGTATTAGTGTTACTCAGTTTCCTCGGGCTTTCATAACTTCAGAGAAGATCTGATGAGACAGAGTTGATATGATCTTGGTTACTTAAGCTTGCTACATACCTAGACCCACACATGTTTGATTAAAGCGTAATGGTCATGCTGGGTCAGACTAAAGATCTTCAGAGTGATGGTGGGTGCCTGGGAATGAGCATCATAGATGAGTAGTATGTAAGGGTTACCCCCTCCTTTTTCTACACTTTAAATTTGTATTTACATAGAGAATATCTCTTCAGCTCGTGAACTTCTATAACTAATGATTGAAGAGAGGGCTATGCATTCACAAATACAGGTTAATTTTATAAACCACAGATGTAGTGCAGTTTCAATTACTCCTCTTATCCGAGGGCAGTTAAACTTTAAGCTTAAAGACAAGCCCTGTGTTTGTTGCTGCAGCTTGGCAAAGGTTCCCAAGTTGCAGAGAGAGCTTTGAAGTAAATTCTTTGTATAGGTGGTAGGGTCATCCTTTAGGAAATAAGTCATAGTGCTTGCATTATTTAAGTAGCATATCATAACTATATCATATTGCCTTCGATTTAGCTAGCTTAAATTACAGGACTGCAAGCTTATGTTGCTATTAACTGTATATCTATGGAATGTTTTAGGGCAACTCTTGAAGTCTTCAGCAAAAGCAGTTCGCCATTTTGCAATAGTAAGGTGATGTTTTGTAAAAAAAAATTTGTATAAAATCCCTGGTGGATTTTTTGTTACTTTCTGTGATTTGGAGAAGCAAATTTTACTGGTAGAGGTAGGAGAGTTTATCCCTCTTCTGGTAAGAATAGAACCACTAGAAAATTTTGTCCTACACCTGTGGAGACCAGTTGGAGGCTGCTAACACTGTTCCTTCCAGGGAAAAAGATTGAGGCTACAGTTTCCATTGCTGAAATAGCTTATGCTTGTTAAGGTGGTGCGTTTTGGCACCCAAGGAAAAAAATGGTGGTTAAGCTTCATTAATTTCCCATTGCTTGTGCTGCCATGACACAGCAGAACATAAGGACGTAAAACAATGGGGGAGGGATGGTGAGTGGGCAGCGTAAATGGGCCACAGAAGAGTGAAGCATCATGTTGTGGGAGGCTTAGCCTAATTGCATCACTGTGCTTTCGGCAGAAGCTAAATATGTCATTCTGGTGTCCCTCTGCCTGGCAGATAGCTATGAAACAGTTGTCCTGTTGAGTAGATGGGGTAGTTGGGGCTTAGTCCCATTCATTAATGGTTGCGTTTACTGTCTGTGGGATTCCCGCCAGTTCTAGAAGCTTGAAGGTAAATACTGAATGAATGGAAGCACTGTGTGGCAGGACAAAACCTGTGATTCCTAGATATGTCATACTAGACTCTCAATTAGTGTGTATTTAACATTTTCAGCTTTTTTTTTAATATGTCACATACAATCATAGTGTGGTCAGGTAATGGCAGGACAAAACCTGTGATTCCTAGATATGTCGTACTAGGCTCTCAACTAGTGTGTATTTAACATTTTCAGCTTTTATTTTTTTAATATGTCACAAGCAATCATAGTGTGGTCAAGTAATAAAAAGATTATAACCTTCCTTAAGTAGTTTGTGCTTTTGCTTCCACTTGAGTATAGGAGTATAGTAATAATTGTTTTAACCTCAGGTTTAGAAGACCTTTTCAAAAGGTTTAAGCTAAAATATTAATTAATCTATATTTTGTGTTCCTTTTCAGTGTAAATAGTTGCTTGGTATGGGTAGATATGGTTGCTCTAGGTGTCCTCAGGGTGACTTTTTTGTTACTTCGCCAAGCACCTGATTTTTTCTTTTGGTGGTTTCCTCTTGGAACTTTGACTTGCTTCCCTAATAACAGTACTCATACTTCTCTACATCTATTCAAATCTGGATTTTATTTTTTGGTTAATTACCGTGTTACACTCTATTCCTTTTGACAAGTCAGTGGAGCATTCTGTAATCCTTCACTGTATCCTTACTGTGCTGAAAGCCAGCTTACATTTGCTCATGCATTTCACACTATTCACTGCATTTTCTGAAGCACTTTGAAGACCACTCATTCCTGTAGGATTGTACTAATAACTATTATCCACTGTGAAAAACATGCTTGTTGCTAATGCTAAATCCTTTTTGTCTGTGTCTCTTCCAAAGAAAAAAAAAAAAAAAATTAAGCACAACACCAAAACAACCAAAGAACCAAACCCAAAGAGCTATCTTTAAAGAATTTTTTTGGGACCCTTGTCAAATGCATTCAGAAGAACATCAGATGCTTCCTTTATGTACATGCTCATTGATTTGTTTGGAACACTCCAGTATAAAAGTGAGGAATAACTGTGTATGAAAGGAGGAGGGAGTGTGTTTCCATAAGCTATCATTAACATGCAGCTTCTGTTGAATGGTTTGAAAGATGCTTTAGCTATGAGAATAATTGTCTGACCTTTTCCTCGTAGAAATGGTTGAATCAATGAAGAAAGTGGCTGGAATGGATGTGGAGTTGACAGTGGAAGAAAGAAACCTGCTTTCTGTTGCGTATAAAAACGTGATTGGAGCCAGAAGAGCTTCCTGGAGAATAATCAGCAGCATCGAACAGAAAGAAGAAAACAAAGGTGGAGAAGATAAATTAAAAATGATTCGGGAATATCGGCAAATGGTAAGATGTTGGTGGTGGTATGGCATAATGCCATTTAGTTAAGGTCCAGTTTTGTTACTCCTGCCCCAAACTGTCCTGGCATTCTAGATTGCCTGTGGTGTGATGACCTGTAATAAGGTGACAGTCTTGAAAGGATGATGTTTGTTCCTTGTCTGGAGAATAAACGTACTTGAAGAGGAGAGGTTGAGTGGTTTTGTGTAAATGTTCAAAAGTGCAGTAGACCCGAAGGAGAAAGGGAGGGCTTTTCCTTCAGTTCATCGACGTATATGCTAAGCATTTGAGCTGTGCTGGTGCTGCTTCTTCCTCACTTACTCAAGTGTGAGGCTGCATGTGCTCAGGAGGCCTTATTCTTTCCCCTCCAACCTGACTTATCCCAAATAACTTTTTTTTCTTTTTTTTTTGAAAATGAACCATGTCAAAGGAGGTGTTTGGCTTTTAAGCTTCTACTTGTGATAAAAGTTGCTTTGGATCATGTGGACTTTGACACTCAGTGCTATTACAGTACTATGTCCTACAGAGTTCAGAATATTAGCGCTGTTAGTTGAAATTCTGGCGGGAAATGATCTTCAGTGTTGTTGTTCTTGGCATAAAGAGGCAGTGTAAAGCCAAATGGGCACTTTCTTTGACTCCTTTACCTTGCCTTTTATCACTGTGGTAGTTGCATTTCATGTACATTGGCCTTGTTTTGTTACTTTTTCCCCCACATGAAAACTTGGTGGGAGTTGCTGTAAACTTAAGTGCTTAACAGTTGGGAGACAGTGAAGAATAGTTTCCTGAAGTCTGGTACAACTGAACTGGCAGACCTATTGCTAGCTCAAACAGCTATGCCTGTATTGAATGAGTGCTGAGATAGTATGGAGTCTCTGACACATCTAGTTCTTAAAATTTAGATTTTTAATTTATTTTTTTTAATTGTCTCTAAGCTGGTCAATTACATTGATAGTAGTTAAAGCTGTCCATTTGAGATAAAGCACTCCATGTTCCTGGGGATGAGGGATGCTCAGATGTCATGGTCACCTCAGCTGTGAAACTTGGATGTGTAATAACCTCCAGAGCCTTGCTATTTTCTCTCTGTTGAGAGAGGGCAAAACTGATCTGCATAACTCCATGCTGAGTCTAGTCAGTCTGTGCAACTTTACCTAAATTGGAGAACTTGGAGCAAGCTTTCACTTTCTTCGGTAACGGCTGATGAAACCTTCATCTATTGGAACAGTCAGTTGTTGTTCCCTCCCTCCCACCTTCCTTGAATGATGGTTTAGCATGGAGCAGGCGTGCTCCCATACTATTTAAATGCCACGCGTTTCTGCAGAGACTTAAATCTCCATTATTTGAGGACAAGTGCCTCCACATGGTTCAGATCTTCACTTTGAGAGAAACAGTGGAGTCTATTATATCACCTGGCACTGATTCATATACCACCAATGGAAATGATGTTGGCTTGGAAATCTTTTCTCAGGAATGGCTCTGGACTACTTTCTGTTGACTCACAGGGTTTCTGTTGCTCCGTGGAATTGTCAAAGTTGTGAGTTTCTAATTTTGTGCTGGCATGCTGATGGGATGAGGCTCTGCCAGTTACATACAGTCCTGAATACCATTTCTTGATGGATGTCTAAAATCTTTATAACAAAACATACAAAATAAGACAATAGCTGTCTGATCATTGTTTAAATTTGTCTTACCCTGTGTGCTTCCAATTTTTTCTGCACAGCGTTTTGTGGGTGGTTACTATCTTCTGCAAAGATCCTTTAATAGTGAAAAGACTTTTTCATTTTTGAAGGGACTGTAAAAAAGGCCTGCTCTGCATCTCCTCTTGTTAAGAGAGCAAGTACTGTGCAGAACAGACTGGTGTGCAAGAAATACATGTCCTTGGAATATTTATCGAGAGAGGCCACATGAAGTGCAGTGCCATGCCAACAATATCTTCAGCTGTTAAATCCTTAAAGAAAATAGCTGTCACAGTTGCTTTATGTGGAAGAGTTCTGTGGAGAACTAGCTATGGCTGCTCAACTCTAGCCTGAGCTTTCCAAGAGACTCCTGTGGATCATCTGTAGTTGAAGACTAGATGCTGTTCATTGCTGCTGGGAGACGTGCTGTGAGTTAGCATCTGCTGGAAGGAGAGTGTTGATGGGTTTGGCAAGATGGCATGGGGGCAGTAAGGGCCTGAAGAACATGTTGCAAAGGTTTGGATGGTGCTTCTCTGTCATGGCTGGATCAGTAGCACAGCTGCCCTGTTGTTGTGCTTGGTGCCTCTCTGAAGAGATAAGATCCAGTGCAGGCTCAGCAGGGTTCCAGTTATTATGCTTAACCATGTCAACAACTACCCACTACTGTAGCATTTTTCAGGGTAAGTTCAGTGTTGTTGGGAGGCCCTTCCCAGGCTTGAAAGGCTTTGAAGAAAAAACAAACAAAGAACAAATGCCAAACCAAAAGCTTTGTCTGGGGACTGACAGGCCAAGTTTAAAGCACTGGGGAGGTGGAGAGAACCAGTGTCTCTGGAAAAGCACCTCTCAGCTACCACCAGAACCAGGCATGACCTTGCTCAGCTATAGAGTGCTGCTCAAGTTGAAATGGAAGTTTGTGTGAAAGTAATTATTTGATGCGTTTGGTTCACATCAGTATTTATTATCATTTAGCACATGGCTTTTAAAAATGCTTGGAGTTTGAGCTTCTAGCTAGCATGACTTGTGACAGAACTCAAGGGGTGATGGTGTTGTCAGAGTAGGGCCAGGCTGGCTTTGTCCGAGACATACACTAGGCAATGCTGAGATGATGGAAGATGCCAGGTTGTTCCTTTACCCAAACCACTTAAAGAAAATGTAGCAAAACACATACATAGCCATGGGGGAGAATGCCACTTACTTCCTTCCTTTGTAGACAGGCTGCTTTTCTGGGTCCTGTGGCTGTTTGGATGCACAAAAGTAGAGCCCCTGGCTTTCTCATCTGACTGCATCTCTGTAGATGTAGAACACGCTGAGGCTTGCGTTCTCCTTGAGAGGATGGAGTGGTGTATGCCTGCACATAATGCAGTACCACTTTGCAGTAAAACCAAGTCCCTTCTCTAATAGCATAGGACGAGTATTCACGAGTATTCTTACTGGTTTGTGTTTGTGGCGCATGACTGTATATTTCTAGGGCTCTAACTTACAACCTGGGTTGTATTCTGGGGCAGCTGCAAGGCTCTCTTCTCCTTCTCTTAGAAAGGTTAGGCTATGAATTGGCATAAATGTGGGTGGTCTGTCTGTTTGTTGTGGCAGGGAGGGAGGCTTTGGCAACTGCTCCCTACTGTTCCAGTTTCATGTTGCATCTCAGTTGTGAGGTGCAGCTATTTTGGGGGCTACGTATTAAAACAGGTCAAAGAACTAGTGCAGGCTACCCTTCCCCTGGCTGCTTCTAATAAGTTTCCTTGTTTAGATCGACGGGTGGTTTACAAGCTTTTGTATCTGCAGAGCTAAGAAGGCAGTCTGGGATCTGATTAAGCCAGCACCAATGCTGAAATAAAGAGAGGCAGGGTGGATTATGGGGGCTTCTGCACACCCATCGGAGTGAGCAGTCTTTCCTTGCTGGTCAGAGCCTATAGTAGTGTACGTCATATTTAGAGCTGGAGTGGTGACAGACTGGAAACCTACCTCTTCTGAGTCTCTGAACAGGCATAGTGTGGGCTTGTGCTGGTCTACTGCTTTGTGGAGCTCATTGAGCCACTGTGTTTACAACAGATCCTTTTCATAAAAGAGCTTTTTAGGTTTTTGTTACGGGTTTTTTTTTTGTTCTTAATCAACTTGTGTTAAATCTTTCTAAACTCAGCTTGGTCAGGACATTTACGTTGCCCTGGACAGCAGCTGATCTCTGGTAACTTGTGTGACTGATCCTTTAAGCAAAGCTGAAAAAGGTCTGTTTGAGATGAAGTAGAAGTTTGTACATGTATGGTTATTTAACAAAAGAGGATTAGAAACTGATTTAATTCTTTGCAGTTTTGCTGAAGATCACTCTGCAAAAGAAGTCATTGAAAAAGAGGATCAAGAGGAAAGAAGTTTGCAGGAACTGACTGCTGGCCAAAGGTTTTATAGCTTTCGTAGCCCAAGAATATATGAAATAGATTCTTCTCAAGTGACCGTATTTCAGCAACTTCTTAAGCATTTCACATAACTTTTAAGTATAGCATCTAACACTTCCTCTGAAGGTTAGGGCATTCTGACATTGTACATGAAGTTTGCTGTAGATTAATATCTGTAAAGAAACTTTTGCACATCTGTTAAGTCATTTTGTACGAATCGGTATGTGTATGTATGTGCCAGTTTAACGTTTATTTTGGATCTATAATTTTAACAGCTTTTAAGGATAGATGTTGTGGTTACAAACTCTAATAGTTTGGGAGCTATATGGTGATAAAAATATTACATGGCAAGAAAAATGCTTAAAGAAAGGAGGAGAGCAAACTGCATGGGTGGGAGGATATGAAGGAGTAGTGCACTAGGTGGGGCTGCTCCTGTGATCCACTGCAGTTTCTAGTAGTTTTCTTGTAAATGATATTGATGCCTTTGCTTTAAAGTCTCTATAGTACATAAAAGTAGCTTGAGCCAGAATTGTCTTCAGCTGCAGCTATGAAAGTTACTGCAAATTCCTGAAAGAGCAGCAGTATGTTACTATGGGCACTTAACCAGCCACTCCTACTGTGAATGACATGGGATAGTCAGAGCAAGTCTGGTTTTGGCAATGTTCGTGTCAAAAGCCAGTTTTTATTTTTTTGGGGTATGTTCAGTTTCTTTGCTTTCAGATGTGAAACTTTCTGTGCTAAAACCTAACCTCAGAGACCTTGCTTTATATTCTAAGTCAGAAAAAATTAAGGTGATGTGACCATGTTTTCGACTTCGGCTATTAAAATCCAGTATCTTTTTTTAAAATAAGGCTTTACATATTGGTTTTCTTTGGCCACAGATCTCACTGTTTGTGTGAGTTCTGCATTTTCTCTGACTTGCTGTGCTTTGCCTTTTTTGCCCAGTTCTGAAGTCTGTATGTCCTGGAGTTTGTCCTCCTCTTGTATCTGACCTTTTTGTTTGTGTGGCACATCTTTATTCTGTTCTGATACTCCATGATTTTTGTCTTGAGGCTCTTCTGTTAGAGCTTTGCCTCCCAAGTAGTCACTAGAAACTTGTTCTGAAGGTGCTGTTTAACTCTGGGGTATAATGGAGTTGAGCTGATTTGTGTTAATTACCTTCAAATTGTCCCCTTCTCTGTTGCCACTTCTAGGGCAACCTTCAAGGATCAGTGTAAGGAATTAAGAGTTGTGCAAGCCTTGCAGTAAGGAATTATTTCCTGAGACCACCTTAATGCAGCTGTTTCTAGGGAATCTATAATTCCATTGTTCAGTTATGCATTTCATCATACATCAGTCCTTGCCTGTTTTGTGTGCCAGCTTATTACGCAGAACTGTTTGGCTTAATGCACCTGTGGAGCAGCTGAATATTTTTATTTCGTCTGTCCTCCCACTCTTTGGATTTTTATGATGTTGCCTATTTGATATTTGGATATTTTTGAAATAGCCTTTAGTCTTTAGGTGCTAACCTTGCTGCCTCTTTTCACCTTTTTTTTTTTTTAAACAGGTTGAGACTGAACTGAAGTTAATCTGTTGTGACATTCTGGATGTACTGGACAAACACCTCATTCCAGCAGCTAACACTGGCGAGTCCAAGGTTTTCTATTACAAAATGTAAGTATCTTCTTGTGAGGCCAGGACCACTTCCTCTGTCTGGACTAGAGACAGAAATAAAGTAGCTATACATGTGTGTTCTGCCCACTCAACCACAACAGCTTCTTCTAGACAGAGGGCAGTAAAGTTGTGTCTAATCAATATCCCTTTCTGGCTACCTTTTGAGGTGTTAGTGGTTTAAAGTTCACTCAAGTACTACTGCACTGTTGTCAGTAATTCAGCAGCCATGTCCTTTGTATGTGAATATGTAAACGTCAGTTTCGGAACTAAGCTGTTAATTTAGTGGCTGGTGGGCAAATAAGGACTGCTGACTTCTTACTGCTTCTGTTTTCAGGAAGGGGGACTACCATAGGTATCTGGCTGAGTTTGCCACGGGAAACGACAGGAAGGAGGCTGCAGAGAATAGCTTGGTGGCTTATAAAGCTGCTAGTGATATTGCAATGACAGAACTCCCACCAACACATCCTATCCGCTTAGGGCTTGCGCTCAACTTCTCTGTATTCTACTATGAAATTCTTAATTCTCCTGATCGTGCCTGCAGGTAGGTAGTGACTGGGGAGATGGGGAGGTTTTATGTGAATACCAAACAAGCCAGAAGTGGTTGCTACTTGGGTAACCGCTTTTCTTCAGTGGGAACACTGGTCTGGCTTTCTTCCAGCTAGTAGTTGATGACTTGCTCTGTTTGAGGTCAATTCACTGTAAAGGTTTTCAATTTTGCTGTTTTCTTTTGAGTCCAGACCCATTTGTTTATCTGGGGCTAGATAATGTATGAGAAGCAGAATAATGATAACCTTGGCTTGACTAATGGCAGTTCAACAGTTTGCCCTGTCAGCTCTGTGCATGCTCTTATCCTGCAGAAGTGTGAGGTGGTTTAACTTGCCTCTCTTGCTGTTGGCTATTATACAGGGTAAGAGGGCTCATGTTACTAATTTCTGTGAACTGTGAGCGTGTGTAGAATGACAATAGGTCTGTCTGTAAGGGTTCAGCTCATATAAGCATAAAAGTGGTGATTGAGCAAATACCATTTGTCTTCTGTTCCTGCTATTGAGGGTTATGTCATATCCTTTCTTTTAAGCTTTTAGCAGACCTCGATCAATTGTACCGCAAGATGTAGAAATGTTTAATAAAACCAATATTCTTGAGTGAAAAGATTCTTAAGCAAAGTGACTGGTTTTGAAGATGGGAGATATTTGAATGAACATCTGAACACTGTTAAATAATGTAAGAATTTGTTGCAGAAGCTATGGATTTCATGTAGCCAAACTAAAGATGGGTGTTCTGAGGCACAGGTTTAGCTTGTGTGCTTCTGGATTCTGTTTAGCAATATATGTTAAATCTGATTTATTCTGTGCTTCCAGGTTGGCAAAAGCAGCTTTCGATGATGCTATTGCAGAACTGGATACACTGAGTGAAGAAAGCTATAAGGACTCTACGCTTATCATGCAGTTGTTACGTGATAATCTGACACTATGGACTTCAGACATGCAGGGTGATGGTGAGTAAACTCTGCTTAAAATGCTGCCGTCCCCTGACCTCTGCCCAGAAAACTGAGCGTGGAAATGCACATCAGTTTGGTGGCTTACTTCTGTCGTTCCTAATAATTGACCCTCCTGAACTTCTGTCCTTGCTTAAAACTGGAAAAGTTGGTAGGGGGGACACCAGCTGCTTCTGAGAAGCTTTTCAGCTCTCCCTTGAAGGAAGGAGGTGGGAATTAGTAACTTTTTTTTCCTCTTCCCACCTGGCAGTTTAGGCATCTGTGATTATTTTAAAAGCAGTGACTTCATTTAATTCAGCTTTTCTTATGGCTTGTCATGTTCATCTATGGTTGTCATTCCAACCAGATGTGAATTTCCAGTGCAGGAGGAAGTATTGAAAATTTATGTACTTCCCCTTTTTTTCATTCAATATTTCTGTTGGCATTTTAGTGGAAGACTTGACTGCCATCATACTAATCACCTTACAGCACTTTCCATGTCTTTTACTCTTCTTATGAAGAATTGAGTATGAAGAGAAGAAGGAAAAGGGATTTTATAAAATACTTTTGTTACCAGGAAAAAAAAAAGCTTGGGAAAATCTAATTTGCTATTTGAGATGTCTGAAGTACTTTCTTTGATACTCCCAGAAATGCTTGGTTATGACTCCTGAAGTGTATTGCCAGAACAAACACCAAATAGATTCCCAGAGGGTGGGACATTGATTGCTTCTGTTTGCTAATACCTGATAGTTATTTAAGTTGTTCTTTCTTTAAGTGGTGGGGTTTTTTTTTGGCATACTGAATAGACTTTGTCCTCTTACACTTTCATATAAGATGCTAAGTATAAATTTACCCTTGTTTAGGGTTTTTTTTGAGTTATGCCTTCTGTTTCCCTGATTATTGTTAGTGAATTAAAAACATTCTCTACCTAGAAAGATTAAACTCGTGTTTGCTTCTGAAAAAATTATGTCCTGAGAGACAAGTGGAAAGAGCTGACTTTCTTTACTTTTAACTTGGAAGGGAAGAAAAAGTCAGTCCTGTTTAAAGTATGTTAGGTACTTAGAAATGCAGAGAGGTTTGAAACAACATTGCTGTTTAAAATGTCTTTAAGTTTTTGAGGTTTTTTTGTAAGATGTTATGTGAAGCATGGTGATAGCTGTAGAGCATTACTTTGCAGTACTTTATGGGTGTAGTGTCCACCTGAAAGCAATCGTAGAGTCTTTTAACTTTTTACTGACAACCTGTTCTTGTGTAGGATTGATGGATTTGTTACGTGATCGCTTCGAGCTATTTACAGAATCACAGAATGGTAGGAGTTGGAAGGGACCTCTGGAGATCATCTGGTGCAACTCCCCCGCCAAAGCAGTTAGCCTAGAGCAGGTCACACAGGAACGTGTCCAGATGGGTTTTGAATATCTCCAGAGAAGGAGACTCCATAACCTCCCTGGGCAGCCTGTTCCAGTGCTCTGCTGCCCTCAGTGAAGAAGTTCCTCCTCCTGTTCAAGCAGAACTTTCTGTGCTCCAGCTTGTGCCTGTTGCCCCTTG